CTCAGCACTTGAAGCTTGCTCGGTCAAACGCCCTCGAGATATCGCGGTAAACGCGAGCAGTATCAACTGTCGGTTCTGTCGGCTCCTAAATGGCGTATTTTTTCGAAAGAATAAAACCATATACTAAAGTTTTTCATCAAACTGACCAAATGGAGCGCCCGGCCAGCGCCCGGCCAGCGCCCCACCCGCGGTGCCACTCCGTGCCTTGCTGGCGCAACGGGTTCAAAGAAGCTCCGCCGCCCGCGGGTAGCGCCTTGAAGCACCTCTTCGCTGTTACATAGCTGTTACCTTTGCTACTAGCTTAGCTACTAGCTACTAGATTGCCTCTCTTACAGCTTCACAATCACAGCAAAGTGTAGCAGCTTTGGGCTTTCAGTCCAGGTCAAGGGATATAAATAGCTCTTGGGTGTTTGTCATTCTGAGGCCGAGCACAAAGACATTCATCAAAGGCACCGAAGCTGCTGCGCTGGTCGCGACCGCAGCGCTATATTTGATGCGATTTGCCTTGCCAATCGGCGCATGTTCCACCGAGGTCGTGGCAGGAGAGTACATTCAAAGGCTATGTGAAGTACCTCAGGACGCACAGTTTAGGAACGAAGAGATTTGTGGGTTTCCGGCACAACAAGAGGCGAATTTGAAGTGTTTCAGTGCAAAAACGCTTTTGCACGTTCGCACGCTTGGGGCTAACAATTTGGGTGCTGAGAGATCAAAGAGGCCCCCTGCTGCCCGTGCAGATCCTGTTGCTATACGTAAGCTGCTGGGTGTGCGTGCAAAGTACTTGCAATTTAGAATAAAAACTAAAAACTTGATTTGTTACTAGTAGCGATGCACTTGTGAATACATAAAACATATGAATACAGAAAACTTAAAGTCATGAGTGCCGTTTTGTCCGGCACTAGGGTGTCTAGTGCCGTTTGCCACCAAATGTTTGCGTTGCGGGCCTTGCGGGTTGCATGGCTTTTTCACTTCTCTTGCTACGCCATGCAACCGGGCTTCCGCAATCAGACTGACTTCTGGTCGTGTTGGGACCTTCCCCCTACAGCCATGGTCCGTCTGAACCTGATAGACCCGCATTCTCCTGATTGTTCCTAATAGCTTCTTGTTACCATTAGTAAGGCCAGGAGCCCCTAGTAGCGTCCTTGCTCCTAGTAGTAAAGCACTTGTTTCTAATAGCTTCTTGTTACTACTAGTAGCAAGTGCATCGCTTCTAGTAACAAGTGCCTTACTAGTAGTAACAAGAGGCTTTAATTTAGTTTAATTCTAATTAGTAAGGCACTTGTTACTAGTAGCGATGCACTTGTTCCTAACAGCTTCTTGTTACACCAAGCTATTATCCCAAGCGGACGCTTTTGGGCACCAATGCTGGCTGGGTACTTGCCCTGTCTAGAGTCCAGAATGTTTAGATTAGCCTGACCACGAAGCGCACATCTCCAACTGGGCTCCCCTCAGAGACTTAAATAGTCTCGGCGAAAAGCCAAACAAACAAGAAAATCTCGACAAATCCGTGTTCACATTTGCTGTCTTCGTGTTGCTGTCTTCGAGAAAGCCGTTTGCCACACGAAAAAACAGTGATTGGTTCTGGCTCCAGGTGGGCTCCGCGTGGCCGAGATCGTTTATCCCCAGAAAAACGCGCAGCCGAATATCGTTCGAATATCACGATGTGCAAACAGCCGAAGCTACTAGGAGCAAAGGGCATCGCTACTTGGAGCAAGGACGCTACTAGGGGCTCCTGGCCTCGCTACTAGGAGCAATGTTCGCTACCAGGAGCAAAGAGCATCGATAGTGCCCAAACAGCCGAACACAACGATTTGATGTGCGCTACATCAATTCAATTTGCTCGGGTTCGCTTATTGAAACCGCCCGTTGTTCTCCTGTATGTATTTTTCTGCAAAACGGGCCATGGACTGGACCTTCCCCCCAAGAGCGATGGCCTCCAACCTAGACCGTTGTTTCGACTTTTCCATTGCAGGACCTTGCGACAACCAGCACAACTACTTTGCTTCCACAGGCACAAGCATCGATATGCATTGCGACGGCAGTCACCCATTTACGCAGACAAATTCTAATGCAGGTAGGATTTAGACGCGTTGCTACCGTACAGGCAACCAAACCAATACTGTGAACTTGTGTTGTGACAGGTTCTCATTCCCACAGTTCAGAGCTTGGTTGTTGACTTCGAATTTCTGCCTGGCGTTTCTGATTCTTCAGGTGCCCAACAGCTCTCAGATTTTGCCAGTTGATGCCGCTGTGCTACCTACAGTCGCGCCTCCCAATGCCACGGTCGCGCCCATCCCACCAGTCACAGCAATGCCAATCAGAACAGTTCCGGCAGTGCCGGCAGTTGGAATGATCCCCACGACACAAACCACAAGCACGGCAGCCCCTCAAACAATTGTCACAGCACCGACGCTTTCGGATGGTGAGGTGGGATGCGTGGGATGCGGGTGCAAGTGGTAACTGACAGCGATGGCCTCCAACCTACTAGCGTCCTTGTTCCTAGTAGCTTCTTGTTACTACTAGTAGCGATGCACTTGTTACTAGTAGCTTCTTGTTCCTAGTAAGGCCAAGAGCCCCTAGTAGCTTCTTGTTACTACTAGTAAGGCACTTGTTACTAGTAGCTTCTTGTTCCTAGTAAGGCCAAGAGCCCCTAGTAGCTTCTTGTTACTACTAGTAAGGCACTTGTTCCTAGTAGCTTCTTGTTCCTAGTAGTAAGGCCAGGAGCCCCTAGTAGCTTCATGTTTTTCTCAGTTTGTAAAGGCAAGGGCAACTGGCTCCTTCTACAAAGTCGGATCAGGCGTGATGCCGGTTTTGCAGTCTACGAATCTATGAATGAAAAAATGATGTACAAAAAATGACGAAATGACAGTACAAGAAATGTGTTGAATGTGGAAGATGTACAAAAAATGATGTACAAGAAATTGATTAGTTCCAGGACAGGTTTTCTACAAGGATGCGCGGTGCTCAATAGTTTTTTGCTTGAAACGAAGCGTTTCTCACTTCCATCTTAATCTTCCAAGGACAAATCTGTGTTGCGAGCTTGGACTTGACTCTGCAAGTAAAGGTTGCACGCTGTTACAGATATCCATGGTGCGAGGACGCTACTAGGAGCAAAGGGCATCGCTACTAGGAGCAAGGACACTACTAGTAACAAATTGCTCCAATTGATATCTATTTGGTCTTTCATGCTGAGTCTGTTTTTTCGAGGCTCCACAGAGTGAATGGTGGTTGCAGCCAGTTGTCTTGTGGGGTGCTCAGACGGTCTTAGCCCTGGACCTCGGCTTGTCCATGCTTTGTCGCATTTACCCGGCAGAGCAATTTGTTACTAGTTGTAAGAATGCTCCGTTCGTAGCGATGCCCTTGGCTCCTAGTAGCGCCCTTGCTCCTAGTGGCGAGAAAACTCTTTCATTGTGTCGTGATATGAACTTGGGACGCAGGAGTTACATACGCAGATTTGTTGTGGCCACCTGTTGTTTGGGCTGCTGTGTTTTGATGATCTCATGGTTCATGAGAAACCGCTGCATCGTGCTGCATGCAAATGCATGGCTTTCTGCGGTTGCCGACCCTAGACGTCTATCAGGAGCAAGGACGCTACTAGGGGCTCCTGGCCTTACTAGTAGTAACAAGAAGCTAGTAGAAACAAGTGCCTTACTACTAGGAGCAAGGACGCTACTAGGGGCTCCTGGCCTTACTACTAGGAGCAAAGAAGCTACTAGAGGCTACAAGAGGGTCCATTCTTCTCTCCCCAAATTCTTCTCGCATCCTCCAACAGTATCACCATCGAGTGTAGGAGGTCATGGCACTCTTGCAGAGCGAATGAAATGCCCACCTATCTGTACAGTTATGGGAAGACGATCTAAGTTTGGGACCGTTTATTCTTACCTTTTTCTGGACCTTTGCTTTTTTTGTATTGTTTGTTTCTTCATCAGATCATTCATTTAGCAACGTTTGTTAAAGACATGTCTCTTCTGGTGCCTCCTTCTTTCTTTGGACCTTTAGGATCCTTTAGGTATGTCTCTCATTCCTTCAGGCTTGTCTTTTGTATGCTTTCAGGTTTATCAGGCTTGTCACACGTTTACCTGTTTGTTCTTCTTTGTTAGACCTTCAGATGTGTTGTCTTTTTTAGACCTTGAGACCTGTTTTGATTGGCTTTACTCCTTGCACTCCTCTTTGGGAACTCGTGGTTGAGAGATGCAGGAACCTGACAACATCAGGAGCAAGGACGCTACTAGGGGCTCCTGGCATCGCTACTAGTAACAAGAAGCTACTAGGAACAAGTGCATCGCTTCTAGTAACAAGTGCCTTACTAATAGTAACAAGAAGCTACTAGGGGCTCCTGGCCTTACTAGTAGTAACA